GCACTTTGGCCATCGATATTCGTCACCTTCCGGCAAAAGTATCACAAGCGCCTTGCGACGTTTAAAAATTTCCACAGCCATTTTATTTCTTTACGGAGAAATTATTGGTTGTATCTGTTTGAAAATTTCACTGAATTTTATCGGCAGCAGAAAGCAAATTCAGCGAAATTTTCGAACAGCTTCGTCGAACAATTTCTATGCAAGAGAATGAAATGGAGGTGGAAATTTTTAAACGTTGCATGGCGCTCTTGATCCTTTGGCCGGAAGGTATCGATATGAATGGTTTTGGCCGAATTCGTCGTATTTTAGGAGAATGGACGTAACTATACTACAAAGTTTGCAAAATTGTCTAAAATAATTAAATTTTTTGCAATAATGGCTTCGCTGTTCGAAATTTTGCCGATTTTTGCGTGTGATCAGGAGGCAAAGCGGTGCAATTTTCGGTTGACAAAAAATTTTTTAAAATCTCGCAGCATTGAAATGAAGTCACGTTCTTTAATCTGTAGAAAACGACAAATCGGTGGCACACATACATATCGATAGCAAAACCAGGAAAGAGCGTATCTTGGTTCGCGATGTCGCGTCGCTGCTTCCTGGCTAGTTTTATCGCATCGTAGAAACCAGCCGTTTTTAATCTGTGAAATTCTGCATGAAATATCTGTCACTGCGCTCAGAAGAATGAACTGTTTTGGAATGGTAACTTGGCTTGGATCTTCGTTTCGGAAAAGAGCTAAATATGAAGGAGATATAAGAAGATCGTCCAAATTCCTGTCAATACAAGGAATTTTTTGTGCCAGATATCGCAGAATAATTGGATTACATTTTGCAATAAGGAACCACTAATTCTGGCTTTTCCATAAAAGCACCTTTCCATATAGGGAGACCAATGGCATATATGTTGTTTCTAAAATGAGCCAAAAATGGTTCTTTCTGGCAAAATGTATTCCAATCAATCTCAGGGCCCGAATTTTCTCTGTGCTTCCACCCAGAAGTGCAACGTCCATCGATAGTCGAAGCTGCACCACCGGCCAATCAGAGGCGCCAAACCAGACTTACAATTAGTGCAATCGACAGTGGCGATTCTTGAAAGTTGGCAACACTGTTTTTCCGCCATGCAATTTTATGTAAAACAATCGATCCTTGCTGAGGCTGCTTGCCTCATGAAATCGATATTTTCAATGAACTTAAATGGAGGAAAACAGAGTTGCCAACTTCAATACCATTTTAAATACCGGTCGAAAGACCGACATCCGTATAGGCATACGTAAGGTATGTCTGTGGTGTACGGTTTTGCAACTCTTCTGTTTTAAGGCGCATTTTGCCTAGCTTCGTCACATATGTAGCTCTATTTTCACATGACAATATATTCGAAGGGAACTCTCCGACACTTTATATTTTCCGAGGTTTACATAAGAAGCTCTGCTCCGGGCTTCCTCCGTATTTCAATTTCCTGCTCCTTATTTTCGGCAATGTGCGTTGCAAAATGCTCGTGGGAACTAGGCCTTAAAACACGCATGAGAAGAGAAGAGACGCGGCACGCCTATTGTGCGTATCCGCGTTTGCTCTCTTTCTGCGTTGTCAAATTGTAAATAAAAACATACTGATTTGCATTAATATTAATCCAGAAGCCAACTTGGTCCACGTCGCAAATGAGCGATGATATAAACCAGCCGTCGAAAGCAATTCAAGGAACCACATGGATAATTGAACATGCGTTAACGACGCGTCTGGTAGATCTCAGATGTATGGGCATCTTTCTCAGGAATCTGGTATTGGTTCCTAGATTTACTTAGGATCCTTTTGCAAAAATTGAGTTCTTAAATCTTTAGGGAAGAACCGCGCGTATGTCTCATTTCTGTTTCAGTGAATTATCAATTCAAATGAATTTCCAATATTCCTCTTGATGCCGTTCTCAAAATACGTAACGCTCTAGAGGGAGGAAGGATCGGGGAGAGCGTCACGGCTTTTTGTTTTTATGTGTTAAAGTATAGGGAACTACGTATGGAAAGCGTCACGAAGAAGGGAGGGGAAGGGGGAATCACACATTTAGTGTTACGTATTTTATGAACAGCCCCTTACAAGAATCAGCGCTAAATAGGACTATTGATTTTTATTACCACTTAGTATCGGTATACCACTGGTATCGATTTTGGAAATGAGCATAATGTACAGCGTAGAGGAAAAAGAAGGTGTTTGCATTTCGGGCATCTTGGATTTTTTTGATGACGTAGGTCGGTACGGACAATTTTCATCATCGATTTTCTTAGAAATGGTGTAGTCGAGAAAAAAGTCTCTCTGTATAAAATGTTTGAAATTATATCATGAGTCGATTTGAGCAAAAAAATCGGACGTTATGGTCTGTTTTTCATACTTGGAGCTCCGGATTTTGCTGGGATATCGACGCCATGTTGTACCGATCCTCGCGGGGTAAACAATCCCAAGATGCGAACACCTCCTTTTCTTCTCTATGAATGAACAGACCTTGTATATTTAATTTATGAATCTATTTCCCCGAAAACTCGTTTCTACAAGCACCATTCGCACGCCAGCGTTGACAACAAGTGCCAAAGGTAAAAACGGTCAAAAGTTGGCAACCTTTTTCCTCCTTATCCCCCTTTTGCCCATGTTAAAGTCATTTCTTTTGGCACAAAGCCTCCGCACTGTCGAAGTATCTATTTTCTCCTTCTAAAGGCGCTCCAGTCACTTCTAAGCGCCGACTTTCATCGGTTTTTTTCATCGACTTGAAAAATCCGTCGATGAGCTGAGGCTGAGACTTGATAGCCATCGGCCCACCTGAAGGTCCAGAATAAAGTTCATTGCGGTTGCTACTTTTCTTGAATATGTTTGAATACGCCCGGTTTTCCCTACAAAAATCTTCCCCAGGCTTTTTTCCGGTCTTAAATGACCAGGATGCAGTATATTTGAATGCGTCCATTTTTCCCTACAAAAATCTTCCCCTGGCTTTTTTCCGGTCTAAAATGAGCAGGATGCAGTTCCGTAACGTGGCTTGCGCACGCTACCCATAAGCGAATTTTTCTTGAAGTTTCGAGCCCCTTTGGAAAGTCCTGCCCCGGTTTGTCTCATCAATCACCAGCACTAGTGCGGACACCGTTGCTACCAGATTCGACCAATCAGATCCGTTGGTTTTCGATGGATCGAATCTCTTTTAGAACCACCTCGCGAGGCGGTACCAAAGTCACACACCAACAACGTTGCGATTCGTTGTTCACCGGAGGCTCGGGGTTTTTTTTTCTTTTTCGTAAGGGTGTGTGTACCGAATCTTTAGGTAAAATTCGCCTCATTGGATCTGAATCAACGAACCAGTTCAGCTGCGCTCTTGGGTCACAAATCAGACGGATTCCGGGACACAATCTGGTGACCGTGGCACGTCTGCTCCTAATTAGCGCTTCACCTAAGTGATCATTAAGAGGCGGCCGTAGCCGTAGCGCACTTGTGCCGGGTCCTCCCCGGTCCCCGCTGCGGTGAGCCCGTTATGAATTTATGACTCGGACGCCGAACTTACAGCTCTTTCAAGTGCTACCGCCCACCTTCCTCCCGGTTTCCGCCCGGTGGCGTGGCGTGCTTCGCGATACATCGATTGATCTGCCATTTAAATCCATGGAAGAGGATCGATTAACTTTGCGTTCGCAACGAAACTTTAATAATCGATTCTTTACCATGGCTTCAAATGGGGAAGTATCGATAGTCGATCATTCTCGCCTGGCGTTGCTTCCGCCCGAGTTCATCAACACACGCGCGCGGCCCATTCCCGCCGTTGTCTTCGGCCCTCTTTTACCTCGCTGAGGAAAAACGCCGTATGAGCCTCCAGGCGTTGCCAAATTTCTGTGGTAAAACACGAATTCCCTGGTAAACTGATGAATATTTTTCTTTCAATTTTTCCAAGAATGTTGTTCGTATTTTGTTCCAAAGCTCCTTAAAATTTTAAGGAAAAGTATTATTGACTTTCCTCAAAAATAAAAATGTTATGAAAGGAAATTCGGCAACTTTCGAATGTTCATGCGTTCTTCCTTAGCACTGCAGTCGTCCGGCCGACTTTTTAAGCTGCGTCGCGCGACCCCGGATGACGCGACGGAAAACAAAAACGATTATGAATGAGGGGGTCCAGGCTGAGGAGTCAACACCTTTCGCTTCGAGTGTGGCGGGTCTGATTCGAGAGAACTCACTTGCAGTTCGTGTGAGGACGTCATGATGGACTCGGTAGCGTGGTAGGTCACTAGGAGCCAGGTCCAGAGAAGTGGGGAAGTGGTTCTCTGGAAAGGGCTCTCCAGCCGGAAGATGGTCTATGAAAAAGCCTTCCCCTCGGGCCCCCAGCGGATAGGGGGTCACTCGAAAGGGCCTATCCAGCGAGAAAAGGGTCTCTGGAAAGGGCCTACCCAGCGGGAAGGGGGTCTCTGGAAAGGGTCCCTGGAAAGGGCCTATCCAGCGGAAAGGGGGTCCCTGGAAAGGGCCTATCCAGCGGAAAGGGGGTCTGTGGAAAGGGCCTACCCAGCGGGAAGGCGGAAGGGGGTCTCTGGAAAGGAATGGGGGCCTCCAGTGGCAGAGGTTTGCAAGTTTTTGTTCGAAAAATGTTGAAAATCTCATACCCGCAGAAAGCGATTTTATATTATTTGAAAGTATATACCTACATTTGCTAATGAATTTACCAGTGGCTAGTCTTGAGAAATTTATGTATTTCACTTCTTCTTGCATGTAAATCTAATTTAAGGGGGGAGGGAAGTAAAACCAAATGAAAATACTCGGGCTTTGTCCTACTTCTGTCCTTTTTTCTAGGTGCGCCAAGTGGAGCAATCATTTCTTCGGGTCGTCGATTTTTTTTCACTTTCTTTCATTCCTGTTTCTTTCTTTATATCTCGCTTGATTTTCGCATTGTTTTGCATAAAAAGGGAAGGGCATTTTTTGTTTTTTGAAACTCAAATTTCGAGCCCATAGGGCAACATTGCCACCGTGTAACTCATGCGTTTTGATTTATTTTGTTCCAGGAGCTGAGTAGGAGAACCTGAGGGAAGATGCCGGAGGAAATAAAGATGTCGGAAATTTCCCCGCCGGAAACGGTGACGAAAACGACCTCGCCGAAAAAATCGCCCGCTCCCCGCGGCAAAACTGTCCTCTGCAAGATCATGCTCCTCGATGGCTCCATCTACGAAACAAACGTCGACGTAAGTCGTTTCATCCTTTTAGCATCTACTTTCAAGGAACATACCAAATTCTCTGCCAATAATTAATTGAACCATATTTTGCGATTAGGAACTACATTTTCTGGCTCATTTCAGAAGCAGCATCTCGACGGCGGCGCACAGTGGATCGAGTCAATAGAAGAGGTCGGACAAAATAATTTGGAAACTTTAAACACGGAAAAAACGAGTTTAGGATGGGGCCCTAACTAGAGGTAGGGCAGTGAGAGGTAGCTCACGTCCCTACAGATTATAGGCACGATACCTCCATGAGCTAGTTGCGAACGCTGCCACCGACTGGGTTTTGAGGTTTTAGTTACTGCGCATGCGCGCGCATGCGCAGGAGTAGCGAATACCGTCATTCCTCGCTGAACGCCAGTTGAGGACTGATGCCCGTATGATCAGGTGTCATTGATATGCCGAGAGGGGGAATTGCACTCAAGAGGCGTAAATTCGCTGCCTCATTCATCGAGGCCTCGTAGCCTGGTGGTACCGCGCTGGTCTTCCATCTCTGCGATGCGAGTTCGAATCCATGCGAGGGCACGGATTTTTTACGCTTGGCGTCGATATGCAGGTAGGGCTGGACCCTACCTTCAGCTTGGGCCCGACCCTCCGAGGTTTAGGTGAAGCAATTTCACCTACCCGGGTTTGGGGCCGGGCCCTGCGCCGCAGTACCCGATCCTAAAACCGTTTTTTCCGTGAACGCTTCTAACTCCTTTAGTGCAAAAATTTGAGATTCCAAAAGTGGTGTCATTGGTTTTCTCGTGAAATTTTCTTCTAGAAGCACCTAGAGTCCCTTTATACTGAGAGTCAAGACAATTCGGCTCATGGATGTCACAAACGGGAATAAAGATTACAGGAATTGAACGTTTTTCGTAATCTTTGATCGGCCCATTCTCTAATGCCTTTCTCCGTTCCTCCTCTCATTCCGTTTGTTCCTTGCCGAACCCGTAATTCCCCGGTCCATTCCAGATTATAATCTTTGCAATTGGTGAAAATGTAATCTTTATTCCCGTTTGTGACACAGTGGAGGCCTAAAATACGGGAACCAATCAGAAATGGATTCAAAATGTCTTGACTCTCAGTATAAAGGGACTCTAGAAGCACCCCTTGAAATTTAAAATGTGACGAAATAAACACCAAAATTCTCAGTTTTAGTCAATAATTTCTTGTCCGACCTCTCTGATTGACTCGATCCGCTGTGCGGCGTAAGTCCGCAACCACATATCTCGTTCGCGGTGTTTGAAAATCTCCGCTTTTATATTATTTTTTTAAAGGAGAACAAATTGACATCATTCCCTGAAGTTGTTGAAGAATTTTCTTCGCACAGACAAGGTAAATCACGACAGTTTTAAAGAATTGCCGTTGAGTAGTTTTCCGTTTAAAAAATAAAGTATGACAGGAAGTTTGCGACGTCGCAAACCGAGATACGTGGTTGTGGACCCACTCCGTCGATATGTACCAATAGTTCTCCTAAGTATATAGATAGTTTCATGAATGAGTAGGAATTGTAGTTCCATATTGGGAAATGTAGTCCATTAGTATTTCCTATTGGCCATTCCTCACTGTTGGGTCAACAACAGCTCAAAGGCTGTATTTTTTAGTCTCGATAATCGTAATTCTCCCTGGTAAAAATTGGCAGTAGAATCTGTGTTCCAAAATACCATAGGCCTATAGCCGGCTGTAAGATTTCCAATAGCTTCTATAGCCGGCTACACAATTTCTTATAGCCTTTTATAGCCGATGGCGATTAAGCAACAGCCCGGCGATAAAGTAGTGTATGCTAAGCGTTACTGCATGATTACGGATGCTAGGACTTAGTGAGTTTTTGGAATACTGCTCTCTTTTTGGGTCGTAGTATCTTGATTTATTTTGCGAGGAAAGCTCCGTACTTTTGATGGATGCCTGCCATTACTAATATATTAGAGCGCCTTCAGTTTCGTATGATATTGTACAATACCTCTGGTGTGAAATAGTTGCTTCAAGCGCCGTGGCACGCTGCGGCGCGGCGCGGCAGGCGGGCAGCCAGCCAGCGCGAAACGCGCATTGGCGCCTACAAACCTAACAGGGATACCTCACGCATTGCGCAATGCGTGAAGTATTCCTGTCAGGTTTGTAGGCGCCAGTGCGTCGCCGCTCCGCTTTGTGTTAGGCTCTAATATTTAATCTCGCGGAGTCAGCGTTATTCAACTCATGATTTTTAAATGTTTACACATCCTGTATGGATTATTCTCATTTTAATTGATGAAAAAAACTACGCATTAAAGGAAAATATAATGTGTGTTTTGTCAATATTAAGGTGGTTCCGTATCAAACTTAATGATTTCCAAAGCACACTTTCTGTACAATCTATACTATAAGCTCCGAGACCTCCTAATTTTACGAAACTGGTGACGCTTAGTTCCAGCGTTCTACCGGGCCGATTTTCATGATTTTTGCGGCAATCGACGGACAATTGTCTCTAGATTAGCCAACTCTTTTCAGATTTTCAAAATATGGCCCAGGTTTTTTTATATTACGTGGTAAAGTTGCGAATTCTCTCATAAGAACAATGTAAATTTATACTTTTTGTCATAGTTCGTTTGAGCGTTCTACCGGGCCGATTTCCATGATTTTTGCGTAGATCGTCAGGTAATTGGCCCTAGATGTGCCCGCTCTAATTAGATTTTGGAAATAGGACCCAGGTTTTTTCAAAATCACGTTATAAAAGTGAGTAACTTTACAGAATGCTCCGGGACTGCTGCCGCTATGCGCGGGAGGATGCGCAGTGGTCGAGGAGGTTGCGCAGTAGCTGGGTAGCCTGCGCATCAGCTCTACACTTATCTACACAAGATTCGCATCTACGACTTCATGGCGAGCGGTGGCCGAGTCGTCTAAGACGTCGAATGCGTAATCTATATCCGCAGCGTGGGTTCGATCCCCGACACATGAAATCTGAATTATTACCTGACTATCATTGTTCATTGTTTTATTGCAATATTTCATCAAGCAGTCATTCCAAAACGCGTCCTTTTAATTTTAAAGTAATTTAAAGTAAAGTTTAAAATTAAAGTATACCTCATATCGTATTTTTTTAGGAGAAAAATAAAACTAACACTGATAGGAGGGTAAAAATGGGGCCGCGAAGCGGCCCATTGATGGCGCGGAGCGCCTTCAGGGGGTTGGGCCGCGTAGCGGCCAGGGGGCGTAGCCCCCTAGTTTCTTATAGCCTTTTAAGTATAATCGATGGCGAAAAAGCAACAACCAGGCGATAAAGTGTAAAGCCCGGCGATAGGAACTATAGCCCGGCTGCATAATTTTTTATCGCTTCGTATAGCCCGGCCGTATGATTTTCTCCGCATTGTACAGCCAGCTTTATGATTTTCTGTAGTCCTCTTTAGTCGGCTGTAAGAATTCCCATGGTATTTTGAAATGCAGCTCTTATCGCCAATTTTTACCAGGGCTTGAATGGATCTGTTGAACTTAAGGTGGTTCCTCAGCATTCTGAGAAACGATTCGACAGTCGATTGACCAATTGGACTAGGTTTTTCTATTTGGTACTACAATTTCTGACTCACCTGTAAAAACACGTATATGCTTAGGAAAACTAATGATACATTAGTTGTTTCTAAACTATACCAGAAATTGTAGTTCCCAATTGCAAAATCCTGTCCAGTTGGTAATTTCCGGATTTTGGGACGTCTCCTAAAAATTTTCGAGCATCTTATCGTCAGCAGGAACTGCACGAACAAAACGTCAGGTACGTACACAACCACACAACGTACGTTTTTTGTCCAGAAAATATTTTTGAAGTTGCTTTACACCGAATTATTTGGGAGTGATTTTTGGTCAAATCAGGCGTACAAATACGGAAACTTATTACATCGTTTTGTGAGGCTCGAAAATGTTTCAGAACTGTTCTAAAATCCAGAAATCATCAATTCATCGATCGACCGACTATCCTATAGGCACCATCGAATCGTTTTTCAAAATGTTGAAAATCCACTTCAAGAGATACAGCCAACTGCTTACATTTTTACGAGTAAAATAGCAGGAAATTAATGCTATTTAGCTTACCCGTAATGCGGATAATGAAAATATGGAGAAAAGTAACTTTTCATCTGAAGCTTTCAAAATACACACTCGATAATGATTGTTTTTGAAAAATCCAGGATGTGCGTTAAAAATTACTGGAGTTTATAACTCATCTTTTGGCGATCCGTTGGGGAGGGTTGCAGCTCGAATGGTTTATGATACACGTTTATAAGGGGAAAGGCGTTTAGGACCTGGAAAAACTGGATAATATCAGGATTCATCAGAGAGGTGGAAATATCCGGGAAAATCAGGGAATCTACCAAAAATTTTGGTGTTAGAAATTGAGTTTTCAAACTCCTTGAGATCAAATTATTTTTTAAAAATTGGCGGTCCGTGTTTTTACGCTTTTACTCAACATACTAAAGGTGATAAATTCGATTGTCTTCCGTATACCCATAGAGGAAAATCTTGTTTTCCCTAAAGAATCCCGAAGAAAATGATAGGAAAACCTGAATTTTCACCAGGGAATTTTTCCACTAAAATCAGGAAAAAATAAAAATTCCAGACGTTTTTGATTTATTCTGACCTCCGGCTCCAGGACCAACTCTCAGTTTTTCCACGTCAACCTTGAGACACCCTGTATAATTTGACAGGAAGTCCGAAACGTCACAAACCGAGAGACATGTTTTTCCCAGATTTGATGCACGGCGGTTACGATCGCGATTTTTCAATCCCGCTCACAAGCCAGACTCCGGACGTTCGGTCTAGCCTCAATTAGACGTATTTAGGCTAAAAGGAACTACGTTGCGCGCAAGCCCTATGCACATAGTTCCTTTTAGCATGACCACGTCCAATTCGCAAATGGTATGCGTCTGTTATGACAGCTCGGCTATTTGACGAGAGCGTTGAACTTTCGCCGAAGTTGCCGGGTTGTGCCATTAAAATGAGATCTCCAATACGTGGTCAAGTGG